GGAGGAGGGAGGAGGAGGAGGAGGAGGAGGCGAGGACGGGATGAGAGGAGAGGCGGGGTGAAGGGAGGGCAGGACGAGGAGCAGAGGGAGGGGTAGCGGGGGGAAGGGAGAGCAGGACGAGGAGCAGCGGCAGGCTGGGGCGGCAGGAGCACCACGAGGCAGCTGGGGAGGGGAGCGGCAGCCTGCGTTGGGAAAGCGTTGCCTTGGTGTCCGTTAGCAGCGCAGAGGGGCTCACACGTAAGGGGGGGAGCGAGGGGGGGGAAGTGTGAGAAGGAGAGGGCCTTCTCAGAAGGTGGTGGGACTTCTCGGAAGCCCTCGCAAATTCTGATACATTTTTCGCGTCTTCGTCGAAGGCTGAGACAACTTCTCAGAAGGCCCAGGGACTTCTGAGCCTTCTGAGAAGGCCCGCCCCTTCTGAAGCCCCCCCCCCCCGGGCTCGCCGCCAACCCATGGTCTGGGACGCCGTCGCGGAGAGCACCGCGGGCGTCGCATTCCGATCGAGGATCGAGCACCTGCCCAAGGCCTGTTTCCATCAGGACCCCTTCCCCCCCCCACATGCCAGCATCCTCCTTGGGACAGGCAGGGGGGGCACTGTGGGGTACCTTCGAGCACCCGTCCAAGGCCTGTTTCCCTCAGCACCCCTTCCCCCCTTGGGTCAGGTATGGTGGGGGGGCACTGTGGGGGCACTGTGGGGCACCTTCATGTCCAAGGCCTGTTTCCCTCAGGACCCTTTCCCCCCCCTCATACTGGCATCCTCGGGTCAGGCGGGGGGGGGGGGCACTGTGGGGCACCTTCGAGCACCTTGCCCGCGTCGCCGCCTCGGGGAGCGGCACGGTCCACCCGCCAGGTCACCCCCACAGGGGCGCGAAGGCCGCCTCGCCTCGCGCCTCGTGGTCTGTGGGGCGCGAGACAGCGTCACGTATCGCGCAGCGCGGAGCGCCAAGACATGCTGCTGCTGCTGCTGATGATGATGATGATGATGATGATGCTGATGATGATGATGATGATGATGATGATGATGATGATGGTGATGATGATGATGATGATGATGATGCCGATGATGATGCCGATGATGATGCTGCTGCTGATGCTGATGATGATGATGGTGCTGATGACGATGATGCTGATGCTGATGCTGATGATCATGGTGATGGTGGTGGTGGGGATGCTGAGGATGATGCTGTTACTGATGATGATGCTAATGATGATGCTGATGACGCTAATGGTGGTGGTGGTGATGGCGATGCTGATTAGGATAATGCTGATGACGATGCTGCTGCTGCTGATGATGATGCGGATGCTGCTCATTAGGATGATGCTGATGATGACGATGCTGATGCTGATGCTGATGCTGATGCTGTTGCTAATGCCGATGATGATCGTGATGATGCTGATGAGGATGCTGATTCTGATGGTACTGCTGATGATTGCTGTTGTTATTAGTAGTGCTAGTGATTTTATTACTCTTATTATTGTTAATAGTATTGTTATTATTATCATTATTATTATCATTATTATTAGTAGTAGTGTTCGCAGTATATCTATGCATGCTTATGTTTGCTAGTCTCATTATATTTATGTATATATTATATTTTCTTATCATTCTTAATATTATGCAACTGGTGCTGATGCTGATGCTGCTGCTGATGATGACGAGGAGGAGGAGGAGGAGGAGGAGGAGGAGGATGAAGAGTGTTGAGAAGTGATGCGAGGTCGCGATGAGAAGGAGTGAGGACGAGCGTGAAGGAGCGCAATGCCCCTGCAAGCCAGAGCCTCAGGAGGCAGGGGGAGTAGGGGGAGGGCGCGGGGGCGACAGGCTAGAGAGGAAGCCACGGCGCGCATGGCCGCAGCTATTTTTTTTTTTGTCGAGCACGAGCCGCTCGACGCAAGGCCGAATCTTGAGCGTTCCCTCTGGCGGCCCCGAGCCTCCCCGCCATGGGCAGCTTCGCCATCGTCCTGGCCCTGGGCCTGCTGCCCGCCCTTGCGAGCGGGCACGCGTTCCTCACCAAGCCCGAGATGCGCGGCGGGGCCTCTGGCAACGTCGGCAACGGCTACTGCCCGCAGTGCTTGGGGTCCACCGACCTTCCGATGGCGACCTGCGGGAACGCCCACTTCCTGGACGCGGTCGGCCCGGTCACCGAGCTGCGGGCGGGGGAGCTGGCCGAGTTCGCGATCACCGTCACCGCCCACCACAAGGGACACTTCGTCTTCCGGCTCTGCGACCATCGCCTGGACAGCCAGGCCGGTGGCTACCAGGCGCAGGAGGATTGCCTGAACGAGCACGTCCTGAGCCGGGCCAGGCCAGAGGAGGTCCACGCGGACTGCCAGCGAGACGACCCACGCGGCGATTGTCAGCCCTACGACGAGGCTAATCCTGGACATTGGTACCTCCCACCCCATAGCGGGTCCCACCTCGACCGAGCGCAGCACCGCTTCCACTACTGGATCCCCGCCGACCTTACGTGTGAGAGCTGCACGCTGCAGTGGTGGTGGATGAGCGCGAACAGTTGCACGCCGCACCCGGACGCCTACAAGTGCTACTTTCAGGAGATTCGGATGCAATTCCTGGGAGGTCAAATGCTGACTTTGCCCTGTTCCAAAACCTGGTTTAATCCGGCATATTCCCGCTGAATCCTGCTTAATCCGCGGCCTAAGCCGGCGTAGTAGCCCCCCATTAATGGGGCTTCATCCTCCTCATTCTTTCCGACGCAGACCTCCCAGTAGTTGTTTTCGAAAGGAGATGGAGCGGCAGGGGTGGGACGCGAGCGCGTGGTGCGATGGCGTGTGCTCCTACCAGGGCGAGTGCCCAGCGGAGCAGGGCGCCCCCGTGCTCTGCGGCGAGCAGTTCAAAAACTGCGCGGACGTCCAGGTGGTGGGGGGCGGAGCCACCAGGGGCCCCACGCCCGCACCAGCGCCCACTCCGTCGCCCACGCCGGCGGCGCCGGCGCCCACGCCGGCGCCCACGCCGGCGCCCACGGAGGCGCCCGCGACCCCGTCGCCCACGCCGGCGGCGCCGACGCCGACGCCGGCGCCTACGGAGGCGCCCGCGACCCCGTCGCCGACGCCGGCGGCGCCGACGCCGACGCCGGCGCCCACGGAGGCGCCCGCGACCCCGTCGCCCACGCTGGCGGCGCCGACGCCAGCGCCCACGGAGGCGCCCACGACCTCCCCCACCGCGTCCGGCGGGCAGCCCAGTGTCTGCGAGGCGGCCGTGAGCCACCACGGCGAGGCCTGGGACTTCGCCGGGCCCTGCTCCGCGTGCCTGGCCGAGAACAACGTCTGCTACGACGACCCCGAGCATAGTTCTCAGAACCTCTGCTCGCAGTGGCCCCAGAACGTATGGTGCGGGGGGGCGTCGCTCGTGGAGTCTCGCCGCGGCAGGCGCAGGCCGTGCGCCTTCCTGGGCACGGCGCTGCTCCAGACCGTGTGCCCTCTGTCGCGCGCCTCGCCCGGCGAGGGGCTCCAGGCTTGAGAGCCCAGCCTTCTTTTGCCCGAGGGGGGACAGAGGAGCCCCTCTCCGAAACGTCGCTTCGCAGTTGCCGCCCACCAGTGCCGGCATGAGCGTCGCGGCGCACCCGTCGTCGCCTTCTGCGTGCAGCGTTCTGGCGGCGCTCTCGAAACAGGGCCCGCCCCTAGGCTGGCGTCCGTGCGATCGGGGCCCTCCGTCGTCTTTGATGACGAAGGCAGCAAGAGCAGAGCGATCTAGAAAAAGAAGGGATCGGAGGCGAAGGCGCAACAGCGCGGGCGCGATCTGGAGCGCCAGCGGCTTGTTAACGCCGCCAGTATATCCCCGTCAGCCCATCCAGAAGCAGTGCCCAGGCAAGCCGTGGGGAGATGGGGCGTGCGTCAATTTTTGACGCGCATGTAGTGATAGTGAAAGACCTAGGGCCCCAATGATGGATCGTAAACGCTTCATGTATCCCCACAAGCCCATATCGAAACGACCCCCAGGCGTTTGCCATGATCTGTGCAACCATGTAGCAGCATGATTTTCCGAAGGAGCAGAGGATGGAGGAGGGATGGGGAGGAACAGGAGCATGGGGCGGAGGAGGAGGTGGGGGAGGAGGAGGAGGAGGAGGAGGAGGAGGAGGAGGAGGAGGAGGAGGAGCAAGCGTTTGGCATCACAACCCGCAATCCAGCCGCGTATCTGCATATTGTGAGCCATGTGGCCACAGCATGTAAGGAAGGCCATGTTGCCACAGCATGTGCTTTAGGCGATAACCGTATTTTGAAAACCGCCCTCCCTCCATAGGAGCAGCTGTTGTTCTCAGGCCAACCGCCTGCAGCGCCATGTTGACCCGTGTGGTGATGCGGCGAGGAGAGGCCATCTGTGGCCCAGGGTCGCCGCCGACCCCCCCCCCCTCCCCCCCCCGAAAGGCCAATGGGTTTCCCCTCCCCTCCCTGGCCCGATGGATTGCCCCCCACCCAGCCCTCCCACCCTCCCCCTGTGGGCCTCGGCATCGGCATCGTCGTCATGTCGGCATCGGCATTGTCGGCATCGGTATTGTCGTCGTTGTCGTCGTCGTAGTCGGCATCGTCGGCATCGTCGTCGTCGTCGGCATCGCGTCGTCGTCGTCATCGTCGTCTTTCGTCGTCGACGTCGTCGTCTTCCCGTGCCTGCTTCTTCTCTTCCAGCAAGCTATAGTAGGACGTGTCGTCGGACGCGTCGTCGTCGTCGTCGTCGTCATTGTCGTCGTTGTGGTCGTGGTCGTCATTGTCGTCGTCGTCGTCGTCGTTGTCGTGACCGTCGTCGTCGTCGTCGTCGTTGTCGCTGTGGTAAGTCATCGTCGTCGTCGACGTCGTCGTCGTCGTCGTCGTCGATGTCGTCATTCTCGTCGTCGTCGTCGTCGTCGTTGTCGTCGTCGTTGTCGTGCTCTCCCAACCCATCTGGCGGGCGGCGTAGGGCCCTGGGCCCCATTCTATCTTCGCGGAGGGCGCGTGGGCCCTGAGCCCGGGAAGGTCTGCTATCAGGAATATGGAGGCACGGGTGAGGGAAGGATGAGGAAGACGAAGGAGGAGGAGGAGGAGGAGGAGGAGGAGGACGAGGAGGAGGAGGAATGGAAATGCGGGGAGGGGCGGGCGAGGAGGAGTTGGAAGGAACGAGGAGGGAAGGGGCGGAAGTAGCGAGGGAGGATAAGGGGGAGGAGGAGAAGGAGGGAGGTAGAACGCAACACACGTAAGCGTAAGGTCTGGCCAGTTAAAAAAGGACGAGGGAGGAGAAGGAGGACGAGGAGGAGGAGGAGGAAGAAGATGAGGGGATACGAGGAGGAAAGGGCGTTTCGGAAGGAGGAATGATGCAACCTACAGGAGTTTGAGGTTGAAGACGAGGATGATGATGAGGAGGAGGAGGAGGAGGAGGAGGAGGGGGATAGGGAAGAGAAAGGAGGGAAGGATGATCAGGTTGAGGAGGAGGAGGAGGTGAAGGACCAGGATGATGATGCTGATGATGCTGCTGATGATGATGATGGTGATGATGATGACGATGATGCTGCTGATGCTGATTATGCTGCTAGTGCTGATGACGATGATGATGATGATGCTGATCATACTGATGATGCTGATGATCATGCTACTGATGATGTTGTTGATGATATTGATGATGGTGATGATGATGTTGATGATGCTGATGCTGATGTGATCATGATGATGCTGATGATCATGCTGAGGATGACGATGATTATGTACACTATGATTGTGATAATACTGATGATGCGGATGATGCTGCTGATGATGATGATGCTGATGATGATTATGACGATGCTGATGATGCTGATGATGCTGATGATGGTGATGATGATGATGATGCTGATGCTCTTGCTGCTGCTGATGCTTATGATGGCGGTTGATGGTGATATGACGCTGCTGATGCTGATGCTTATGCTGCTGATGATGCTGATGATGCTGATGCTGCTGATGATGCTGCTGCTGCTGATGATGATGCGTATGATGCTGATGATGATGATACTGATGATGATGATGATGATGATGATGATGATGATGATGAATATGATGATGCTGACGATGATGATGATGATGATGATGATGATGATGATGATGATGATGATACGGGGGATGCTGATGATGATGATGCTGCTGATGATGATGATGATGGTGGTGATGATGATGATGATGACGATGCTGATTATGCTGCTAGTGCTGATGCTGCTGATGCTGATGATGCTGATGAGGATGCTGCTGCTGATGTTAATGATGATGATGCTGATGATGATGCTGATGATGATGCTGATGATGATGATGATGATGCTGATGATGCTGCTGATGCTGATGCTTATACTGCTGATGATGATGAGGATTATGATGCTGATGATGTTGATGATGATGATGATGCTGATTTCTCTGCTAATGCTGATGACGATGATGATGATTATGATGATGATGCTGATCATGCTGATGATGATGATGCGGATGCTGATGATGATGATGATGCTGATGATGATGATGCTGATGCTGATGCTGATGATGCTGATGTTGATGATGATGATGATGAAATGATGATGATGAAAATGATGATGATGATGATGATGATGATGATGATGATGATGATGATGATGATGATGATGACGTTGATGTGATGATGAGGATGATGATGACGATGATGATGATGATGCTGATGGTGATGATGATGATGCTGCTGATGATGATGATGCTGATGATGATTATGACGATGATGATGATGATGATGATGATGATGATGATGATGATGATGATGATGATGATGATGATGATGACGTTGATGATGATGAGGATGATGATGACGATGATGATGACGATGATGGTGATGATGATGATGCTGATGATGATGATGATGATGATGATGATGATGATGATGATGCTGCTGGTGCTGATGCTGCTGCTGCTGATGATGCTGATGATGATGATGCTGATGATGATGATGATGATGATGATGATGATGATGATGATGATGATGATGATGATGATGATGATGATGATGATGATGATGATGATGATGATGACGATGGCGCTGATGCTGCTGATGATGATGAGGAGGATGAGGAGGAGGAGGCGGAGGAGGAGGAGGAGGAGGAGGAGGAGGAGGACACCAGCGCAACGTCGTGAACTTCTCCGCAGCTTCGAGCTTCGTGGAGGGGGACGAGGGCGGAGGAGGAGGCGGAGGAGGATCGAGGAGGATTTCGAGCAGCAGCAGAGGAAGGGATGAGAGGGAGGGGTGGCGGGGGGAAGGGAGAGCAGGACGAGCAGCAGCAGCAGGCCAGCCGGAAGGAGGCCGGGGCGGCAGGAGTACCACGAGGCAGCCGAGGAAGGGAGCGGCAGCCTGCGGTGGGAGCGCGGTGCGGCGGTGTCCGTGAGCAGCGCAGAGGGGGCTTACACGCACGGGCAGCTTCCATTCGGCGGCGAGCGAGGGGGGAAGTGAGCAGGAGAGGGCCTTCTCAGAAGGCGGCGGGACTTCTCGGAAGCCCTCGCGCCTTCTGAGAAGTTGTTCGTGTCTTCACGAAGGCTTAGAGAATTTCTCAGAAGGCCGGAGGACTTCCGAGCCTTCTGAGAAGGCCCGCCCCTTCTGAATTCCCCCCCCCGGGCTCGCCGCCAACCCATGATCTGGGACGCCGTCGCGGAGAGCACCGCGGGCATCGCATTCCGATCGAGGATCGAGAACCTGGCCGAGGCCTGTTTCCCTGAGGTCCCCCCCCCATGCCGGCATCCTTTGGGTCAGGAACGGGGGGTGCACTGCGGGGCACCTTCGAGCACCTGGCCCGCGTCGCCGCCTTGGGGAGCGGCACGGACCACCCGCCGAAGGCCGCCGCGCCTCGCGCCTCGCGGTCTGGGGGGGTGCGGGAGAGCGCGAAGACGAAGAGCGCGCGCCGCGCAGAGCGCAGCGCGCGGCGCGGAGCGCGAAGGAAGGTGAGCGACGAAAGAACAGGGGGTCGTCTTCGCCAGCATTCGCGCGTAAACTGCTGGCGTAAGGTCGCGCGTCAGCGCCCTCGGTTTCAGTGCATCTTGCCGCGCTGGCGGCCCGCGTGGGCCGCGGCGTGACGTCGCTGTGCCATCTCGTGTCAGACCCGTTTCTTTGGGTCGCTCAGGTGGCGTCGAGATCCACGCGTGGAAGCAGCAGTCCTGCTGGGTGCTTGCCCGATTCGGGGCCTCGTTGCCGGGGGCCAGCACGGCGCGCTGTGGGCGTGGTCAGCACACTCGTGCCATGTCAGTTTGATGTTGCGAGTGCCGCTCATCGGCGCCATGCCACGACGGGCGATTCGTGTCTGTGCCGGCGAGGAATTGGGTCAAGGAGACCAGAGCCAGCACGGATGCCCTGATAGCGCTGGTGGGAAACAAGTGCGACCTGAGGGCCTCCAGAACGGTGTCCACGAAGGCTGCGGAGGCCGTCGGCTTGCTTTTGGAGTGTAGCAGCGGCAGGCCTGTTCAGCACTGAGTGTGGTTGGGTAGCAGCAGTATAATCGCCAGTAGAAGCCGCCTCGGCGGTGGAAGTCTCGAGTTGCGGGGGAGCAGCGACGTATGGTACACCATTGATGTAAGAAGTACGGGAGCATCATCGTTACTATGTCTCCCTTGATTTGCACGTCTATACCTGGCGCTTATGGCAGGAATACGCCGCAAGCGAGGGCATCCTGTATATGGAGACATCCGCAAAGACAAACGAGAATGTCCAGGATGGGGATGGGCGCGATGAGACTGCACATGCGTTCTGATACATGCTCGTGACGCATCGTTGCGCAGGATAGGCGCACTGCGGCCATATGTGGAACAACGATCTGATAAGCAATGTGTTTATCGGTAGTTTTGCAACCTAACTCTGGGGCTGCGTGTCTTCACATTCCACATGACATTAGGACGCACGTTAGCATGATGTCCGCGTGCAAACTACCACATGGTGTAAATAGTGGGTTTGGCCAGGAGCTCTTCACCCAGATTGGCAAGGATCTGCTCAACAGACCGAAGGAGCCGAGCATTGCTGCCTGACACCTATGTTATATCATTTCTTTTCGATGCGTTCCAACAAGTTTCCTCAGTTTCTTGTCCCCGCGTGGCTTTATATCCCATCGATGCAAGAACGCTTGTTTTGATATGGCAATTTCCCATCGTGATCTAGTGACGCTGGAACAGGCAATCGGTTCCAAACTCACTGCTATGCGACTTTCATTCGTGTTCTAGCACGAATGGATCTCTCGTATTAGTTCAAGGTACCGCGGTAGCAGTGTGCGTTCGAGTGTTTCCTGTTGCATTGGCGTATTATGTGCGCTTGTTGCAGTTAGCTGTTCGATGTTTGCTCTGCGTCCTTTCCACAGCACGTGGTGCCATGCGTTGGTTCACTCGTCCATAGCATCGTTGTACGGTATGCTGGGTCTGCGCTCTTGTGTTCTTGCGGCGTCAGGACCAGTCGGGAGAGAAGCGCCGCTCCACTGGAAGATCGACTGCCTGCTACATGCCCCTCGAAGTCAAACGCACGTTTTCTCCGCGACGTGGCGGCGCCCCAGGACCTCCACATTCCAGCGTTCGTGCCCAAACTGGCGACTGCAGACCTAGAAACCTGACCCCGCGGGCTGCGTTTCGCGCCGTAGACCACCTTGAATAGTCTGCGTTCTTGATTTCGACGGGGGCCCGACTGCTTCTTCTGGTCTCAGGGGGCGTGGGGGCCTCTGAGAAGCCCCGCCGCCTTCTGAGAAGGCCTCATCCCTCTCACTTCCCCCCTCGCTCGCCGCCGACCTGAGATCCGGGGGGGGGGGGGGCGACATGGCAGGACACAGTGGGGGCCCATGCCAAGAAACACCCTACTTGCCTCCAGGGTGCCCTGGGTTTCCTGGGTTTCAATGGCTTTGCGATGGACAGCGTGACGTTCCCACATCAAAAATCAATGGACGTCCTTGGGTCTCGGGGTTGGGTTTCTTGTGGAAGGTTTCTTGTTGAAGGGCCCCTGCTGTCGCAAAGGGCCGGGCGGAGAGTCGGCTCACGCAGCTGCTTCTCTTGGCGCCTCCCTGGGCCGGGAGGCGGCGCCCACGGATTCGCGGACTGCGAGCCACTAAGAGCTCCGTGGGGTGGTGCCGACACGGGGCCACGCTGCCCACGGCAGGCCCTCTCGCCGCGCCGGCGCGGCGGCGGCGGCGGGGGCGGAGGCGCGGGTGCTCGAGGCCCAGACGGCCGAGGTCGGCCTGGGCCAGGCCGGCCTCGAAGTGCTACGGTCAACCCGCATGGTGTCCGAGGCGGGGGTCTAATCAGAACCGCCGCCTGTGGGATCGATCTGCGCGGACCTCCACAGGCGGTGGGTATGGACGAAGTCGGGTCCCCGGGGGGCGAAATATGGGCATATCCGCTGCCCGCTGGGGCACCAGGACGGCGGTTCCCAGGCGGTGGACAATGGATGAGTCCACGCCTCGGGTGGGCAACCTTCCCAAGGGTACCCTTGCATCCTTCCCTCCACGCTCAATCCATGGCCACTCGTTGGCCGCGCCCCGCTCGAGAAGCTTCGAAATGGGCGCCCAATGCCCTCGCATCCTCATCGCGCATCCTTATGATACGGGCCTACTGTATTCCAAGTTGTTCAAGAAGTGGCTGGGTGTGTGGATCGCGTGGAGGCACAGTAGAGGGAAGCAATTCATGCACACACCCCCTCCGACCAAATTCAGAGTCGGCATTCGCGGGTAAGGCTGCGGTCTAAGTGCAGCTCTTCAGAGCGGGAGAGTGGAGGGGGGGCCTTCAGATGAAACTGGGCATATTTTGAAGAAAAAGCGCCAAAAACATAACCTCTTGGCGCTCCGTGCGGATTTCTTGGGTCCGCGGAGCGCGCCAGGGAGGGGGTCCGGCGCAGAACCAAGGCATCCTCGCGGAGCGCCAAACGATTATGTTTGTGCTGCTCTTCCTTGCTCTGGGAGGGGGGGCCTCCACCGATGAGGATGGGCACGTTGTTGCCCAGGTCTGCCAGGCATGGGCTGCCCCGTTCCGGGCGCGGGTGGACCGGAGCGTGTGGATCGTGGCTTCCGACTGGCTTTCGGGGAGGGGGGGCAGACCGGGCTGTCGGGCGGGGCGGCGTGGGAGGCCTTTGTTCTGCACAGTTTGGCACACCCCTTTGCATCCGTGCCTCTTCGGCCCATCCTATGTAGGCATCCAGGCCTCCGAGATGGGGTCCGAGCAGATGGGCTCGGAGGATCGCGCCACATCGCCGATGTATCGCCGAGGCGCCTCCATCTATTCCGACCCCATTGAGTAGGTCTCTATCATAAGCAATTCTTCTAGACCAGCCTCTCCAGGATACCCCTGCGGTGGGCTCCAGTTGGATTGGATCTCAGCGGGTGGCGGTGGCGCTGATGGTGCCCTTGGCCTCTTGAGTCCTGTCAGTGCAGCATCTGGGGCGCGCGCCGATTCCGTGACGCGCTTTTGGCTGATTCCTGTGTGCAGTTCTACACTATTTTCCGTTTCTCCCCCTCCCCATCTTTTCTTCTTTGGTCGACTGTTGCGTCGCGGAGTACCACTCCCATCATCCGAGGTTACCAGATGCTCGAGGTGGCCCCAGCTATACCAGGGAGGCCCAAATGACCTCCAGAGCAACCCTCACGAGGCCACGGGGTCACTAGTGGCTTCCACATTATGAGAAAAGCTTCGGCCGCTTTCTTGGGGGCCAGTCTCAGCCCTAGCCTCCAACCAAACCCGATCTTCCTCCTTGGTCAGATGTTGCCTCGTGGAGTTCCCGTCCCATCAGTTTGGACGTCAGCACTCATCACGTCTTCTGCGCAGAAGGCTCGCAGACCTCGCCACCCCACCGTTCCTGTCCAGGGCCCTCCTGGGTCCCAGGACGGCGCGTCTGCCCGCCAGCCTTCCATCAGGAGGGCGCTTGAACCATACCAGGGTCAAGGATGTCCAGGGTGGAGGTTCCTCCTTCTCCTTCTCCTCCTCCTCCGCCTCCTCCTCCTCCTCCCCCTCCCCCTCCTCCCCCTCCTCCTCCTCCTGCTCCTCCTCCTCCTCCTCCTCCTCCTCCTCCTCCTCCTCTGGCAAGGCAAATCCAGGCACGGCGGCGGGATTCTCCAGAGTGCCCCCCTGCGCACGCTCAGACGCCAGCGCCTATGTCAATGCCTTTGCCCCTCGGCCCCTCCGCCCCCGCGGTGGCCGCCGCCGCCGCCGCCCGCCCTCCCCGCGGGCCGCGCCGCGGCGGTGGAGGCGGCGGGGCGGCCGGCGCTCGCGCGCTGGGAGGCCAGGCCCACTGCGCCCTCCTCGTCCTCCTCCTGCTCCTCCTGCTCCTCCTCCTCTTCCTCTTCCTTCTCCTCCTCCTCTTCCTCCTCCTCCTCTTCCCCCCCTCCTCCTCGTCCTCCTCCTCCTCCTCCTCCTCTCCTTGCCGCCCCTCGGGAGGGCGGAGGCCGCGACGGCGACGACGACGACGACGACGACGACGACGACGACGACGACGACGACGACGACGACGACGACGACGACGACCATGACGACGACGCCGCCGCCGCCGCCGCCGCCGCCGACGACGACGACGACGACGACGGCGGTGGCGGCGACGGCGGCGGCGGCGGCGCGGGGAAGAGGATACCGATGCAGGCCTCCCCAAACCCCCTCGTGTTGTTGAGAAGGTTACGAGGTAGCTCGCTACACTTGGGTCCAAACGGTGAGCATGTGGCAGGCGCAGTTCCCCAGAACATGTGGGGGCCAAGTGCTCTCAGCCAGAGGTTGCAGAAGAGCATGCGACATCTATGGGTTGCACTGTAGTGTACGTTACGCCATAGATTGCGCCATAGGGTGCGCCACGGGTTTCGCCGTAGGTTTCGTCATTCACGTGTTCGCTATGCATTGGTTTCGCCATCGGTTGCTTCATGGGTCGCGCCATTGGTTGCGCCATCCAGGATTTGCGCCACAAGTTGCGCCATGGGTTGCACCATTTGTGCTCCACTGGTTGCGCCGTAGGGTGCGCCCTCTGGAGCCGAGTCTTGAAACGGCCTACCAGTGGTTGCACCATGCGCCGCGCCCCCTGGCGGTCGAACCTATACCGCCCTGCGAGCATGGAACAGTCTGGTATTGGTTTGCGCCGCAGATTGCGCCGTCGGCTGCTTGAGATCACACGGCCTTGCGATTGGTTTCGCGAAAGGTTGCACCGTCGGCTGCCGAACATGAAACGGCCTTGCGTTGGTGGCGCCAGAGGTTGCGCCGTCGGCCAGAAGCCACACGGCCCGACTGGTAGCGAAACAGGTTAAGCAATCAGCGGCCGCACATCAAGTGGTTCTTCGTTTGGTTGCGTCGTGGGTTGCGCACTCGGCGGACCGACCACGGGGAAGCACACGTGTCGCATAAACTCGTGCACCACGGCGCCGCGCTGTGCTCCTCCTCTGCTCCCCTTCCTTCTCCTTCTCCTTCGTCCTGACTGGTCGGTTTTGGCCACCACGCTGACGCTGCCCACTCGATCCGTTTCCCGTCTCACATGCTGTGTTTCTCCTCTGCGGCTTGTTCTAGCATGGTGGAGTCCCCTGGCCATCAGTTGGGAAATCGGCAATTTTCATCATCGGGGTCTTTAATTTTCGTTGGGGGGAATAGGCTACGCACTCGGCGGCCGAAACAAACAATGGCTTGTTGTTGATTGCGCCATAGGTTGCGCCCTCGGCGGCCGAACGTAGAACGGTGTGCAAAGGGTCGCGACCAGCCAAAGTCAGTCGTCAGCGGGTCAGACAGCTGGCCAGTTAATCAGTCAGCCGTTCACTGAAAAGCAACTTGGGGCCAGGCCCGAAATCACAGCAGGCGTCTTGGTAGTTTCATGACGTGGGGGGCCCTCACCAGGTCCTTCACGATTCGGGAGGAACGTATGTCCCGGGGAAGGGGCCGAGATCTTGGCAGGTCGACGTTGTGAAATCCACGACGTCTTGTGTGGGGGCTTGGAGTCGGTGTTAATTTCAGCACCGATAACGTGCTACAGTCAACCCGCATAGTAAGGATGAGCGACTTCAAGGTTACCCTTACATCTGTCTCCTTCGGCCCATCCCTGGCCGTTTTTGCTGGCCGCGCCCCGCGTGCAGAGTGTCGACACGGCCTTCCGAGGCCCTTGCATCCTTTTCGTGCGTCCTGATGATACGTGTTGACTGTATAGGACATGGGTCGCCCGCCATGTGAGCGCTCTCCCCTCTTCCCACCCCGCGGCCGCTTCCGCCTGTCTTTTCCTCCTGCCGCCGGTCAAATGGCGCTCTCCGTTGCCCGGACCGCCTGAGCGCGCGTGCCGACTGCCTTTGCCGCGTCGCGACGCAAAGCATGTACAGGACAGGGGAGATCGCAGGAATGTCCTGGGGCCGGTGTGCAGTCGGACACGGCCTCCGTAGCGTTGTGGCTGCAGGCACCCCCACCCCCTGCGCAGGGAGACAGCACTGCGGGGCGAGGAGGCGTAAGAGGATCCAGACCTCGGGCGCTGCGAGTGCGCGCCTCGATGGCGCTGGGCGGGGCGGCGGAGCCTTGAACGATTTACGGTCGGACCGAGGTGTAAGATCCAGGTTGGTTCGTATTTGTTGGATATTCTTGTTCTTGTACGTCCCGGTGGACTGTACCCTCGGTGATCGTATGGTTTGGGGTTTCTTGGCCGGTGGAGGGTCTCATGTTGTGAAGGATGTTCTTCTGTCTTAGGTCTGGCCGTATCGGGTTCCCGCGGTAGCGGAATCTGCGCACCCAACGACAATTTGGCCGATTGGCGGGAATCCAACACCACCAATTCAAAGGTGCCTCGATGTCGCCTCGAACGATTCAGCAGCGCTGCGACGCCAGCACAGGGCGCTCACGGCTGAGGAGGCCGCCCGCGACTCCCCCCCCCGCGGCGCGCCTCCCGGGGGCACGCCCCGAGGCCAGCGCGACGAGCCACGACGACTTCGAGCGACTACCAACGACGGCAAGCGACCAACGGCGACGAGCGACGAAAGCGATGACGACGAACGACGAACGACGCACCGCGAACGACGAACAGCGACGACGAGCGAGGATTGACGACGACGTCGTCGTGATCAGTCGTCGTCGTGGTCTGTCATCATCGTCTTCGTCTTTGTCTTCGTCGTCGTTTTTGTCTTCGTCGTCGTCGTTGTCGTCGTCGCCAATGAACATCGCTTGTTGCCCGTCGCCCGTCGCCCGTCGCCCGTCGCCCGTCGTCGTCGCTGTCGCTCGTCACTTGTTGCTGCCGTCGGCGGCGTCGCCCGAGAGGCAAGCCCGAGGTCGAGGCGGCGAGCCAGGGCGGGTGCTGCTCCTGAGCCTCGGGGAACGACGTCGGCGCGGCGGCCGCGCGCCGGGCTCGGCCCTGTGCGGCCTGTTCGCGAGGGAGGCGTGTGGCACCGGGCAGCCTCGGGCGAGCCACGCTCGCCTTCGGGGGCCGGTGCACCCAGGCTGGCGTGGGCCGAGCTCGCAGTTGGAGGCCAGGGAGGTCGTGCCACCAGCCCCGTCGGAGACCCTCGACGGCGACGGGAGAACTTGGTCGTCGTCGTCGTCGTCATCGTCTGTGTCGTTGTCTTTGTCGTATTTGTTGTCTTTCTGTTTTTCGTCGTCGTCGTCGTCGTCGTCCGCCAGAGACCGTCGACGGGAGCACCTGGTCGTCGTCGTCGTCGTCGTCGTCGTCGTCGTCGTCGTCGTCGTCGTCGTCGTGGTTGTCGTCGTCGTGCTCGTGGTCGTCGTCGGCGGCCCCCGGCGGCTTCGGCGGGGCAGGGCTAGCCCTGGCGGCCGGTTGCCTCCCACGGGGTGGCCTGGGCCGCGCTCGCACCGCGCATTGGGCACCCCCTGCGGGGGCGACGTCGTGCCCCCCTCAGCCCTGCCGGAGACCCGCGGGGGAGGCGCCGGGTCGCCGTTCTTGCGGATCTGGTCGACCCCAAAAGGGGGTCTGGCGGAAAGGGGGTGGTGAAACAGATTTGGGGCAGTTGTATTGTATTGCATCGCATGGTATTGCAATGTATTGTATAAAGGTATTGTATTGAGTTGTATTGGACTGTATGGTGTTGTATTGCATTGTGTTGCTGTATGTGCAAATGTATTGCGCCGGATAATTTTATTGCATTGCGTTGCGGCGAAGGTATTGCACGCGAAAATCCAGCAACACATTTGCGCCCCAGAATGTACTGCACACGCCCCATATGTATTGCAATCCCACAAATCTATGGCACCAAATCTATTGCACCGCCCCCCTGTCGCTGGACCCCTTTTTTGGGTCAACCTGGGCGAAGGGGCCCAGAGTCCAGTCGGTCATGCCCTTCTACAGGAGGAATATTCGAGGGTCGTCGACAAAAAAATATGTTTGAGCATTTGTTGGCAATTTTTCATTTTCGTCCAGAACTCACATGTAGGAGGATATGCCCGACCTAAGCCCAGAGTTACAGGGCAGCGATCCGGGACGAGGTGCTGGCCTCTTGGAGGAGGTCCCGATTCCCAGGGCCCGCTACTTGGGAAAGGTCAAGCCATCGGATAATGTCTGGGCAGGGAGGGTTCAGTGAGTTGTTCAGTTCCGCACGGAGTCGGGGTTCGGGTAGGGGATGGTGGCACGGCTGGCGGGCAAGGCGTCGGAGGCGCCGTTGCCGAATGCCCTGGACACTTTGTGATCTTCCTGCAGATGTCCCGCATGCATTTTCCAGTTGCTGACCTGTGGCAGGTTCGCGCCGCGTCGACATGGAGGTGGCCCTGGCGCGGGCTCTGAAGGTTGTAACGCCGCTGGTGGCCCGGAATCGGCCGACGTAAAACGGCCTGCGAAATTGGAGAGCCGCGATCCTTCAAGTCTGAGCGATGTACGCGGCGCCAGGCACCAACGCCGACGTCATGTGATCGTTTTCGTGTTCATTCCCAACCATCCTGTGGTGTTGGGTCCTCGTTTTGAAGAGACAGCGCCCGCTCCCGCTCCCGCTCCCGCTCCTCCTCCCCCTCCTCCCTCCTCCCTCCTCCGTTTCGGCACACCCCTCACACGTTTCGTGGCCCCATAGGGAGCTCCGCCGAAGGCCCCAGTGCTGCCGCCGGCATGCGTCCCGCACACCCATTTCGGCACACCCCTCACACGTTTCGTGGCCCCATAGGGAACTCTACCGAAGGCCCCAGTGCTGCCGCCCGCATGCGTCACGCACACCCAATTCGGCACACCCCTCACACGTTTCGTGGCCCCATAGGGAGCTCCGCCGAAGGCCCCAGTGCTGCCGCCCGCATGCGTCACGCACACCCAATTCGGCACACCCCTCACACGTTTCGTGGCCCCATAGGGAGCTCCGCCGAAGGCCCCAGTGCTGCCGCCCGCATGCGTCACGCACACCCAATTCGGCACACCCCTCACACGTTTCGTGGCCCCATAGGGAGCTCCGCCGAAGGCCCCAGTGCTGCCGCCCGCATGCGTCACGCACACCCAATTCGGCACACCCCTCACACGTTTCGTGGCCCCATAGGGAGCCCCCGAAGGCCCCAGTGCTGCCGCCCGCATGCGTCACGCACACCCAATTCGGCACACCCCTCACACGTTCGTGGCCCCATAGGGAGCTCCACCGAAGGCCCCAGTGCTGCCGCCCGCATGCGTCACGCACACCCAATTCGGCACACCCCTCACACGTTTCGTGGCCCCATAGGGAGCTCCGCCGAAGGCCCCAGTGCTGCCGCCCGCATGCGTCACGCACACCCAATTCGGCACACCCCTCACACGTTTCGTGGCCCCATAGGGAGCTCCGCCGAAGGTCCCGGTGGGTGTGCCCGCATGAGTCCCGCACATCGATTTCGGCACAGCCATCACACGTTTCGTGGCCCCATAGGGAGCCCCACCGAAGGCCCCAGTGCTGCCGCCCGCATGCGTCACGCACACCCATTTCGGCACACCCCTCACACGTTTCGTGGCCCCATAGGGAGCCCCCCGCCGAAGGTCACAGTGGGTGTGCCCGCATGCGTCCCGCACGCCCATTTCAGCATACCCTTCACACGTGTCGTGGCCCCATAGGGTGCTCCACCGAAGGCCCCAGTGGGTGTGCCCGCATGCGTCCCGCACACCCATTTCGGCACACCCCTCACGCGTTTCGTGACCCCTCACACGTTTCGTGGTCCCATAGGGAGCTCCGCCGAAGGCCCCAGTGGGTGTGCCCGCATGCGTCCCGCACACCCATTTCGGCACACCCCTCACACGTTTCGTGGCCCCGTAGGGGGCTCCACCGAAGGCCCCACTGCTGCCGCCCGCATGCGTCCCGCACGCTCATTTCGGCATACCCTTCACACGCTTCGTGGCCCCATAGGGAGCTCCGCCGAAGGCCCCAGTGGGTGTGCCCGCATGCGTCCCGCACACCCATCTCGGCACACCCCTCACGCGTTTCGTGACCCCTCACACGTTTCGTGGTCCCTTAGGGAGCTCCACCGAAGGCCCCAGTGGGTGTGCCCGCATGCGTCCCGCACACCCATTTCGGCACACCCCTCACACGTTTCGTGGCCCCGTAGGGAGCTCCGCCGAAGGTCCCAGCGGGTGTGCCCGCATGTATCACGCACACCCATTTCGGCACACTCCTCACACGTTTCGTGTCCCCATAGGGAGCTCCACCGAAGGCCCCAGTGGGTGTGCCCGCATGCGTCCCGCACACCCATTTCGGCACACCCCTCACACGTTACGTGGCCCCATAGGGAGCGCCACCGAAGAAGATATTCACAATTGCGGTACTCACAATTGCATATGGTTGGGTCCTTTGCCAGGATAATTGTTTTGCCAATAGGCGCGGGCCCTCGCACGCCCCCTTCCCCCACCATGGAGTAGATCTTGGCTGATTTTGGCGCTTGTTTCAGGCAGGCGGAGTCTCCCCCATCGGACGCACTGCTGCAAGCATTCGCATTCAGCAGAGGTCCGTTCAGAGCCAGACCCCCCCTCCCCCCTCTGCCGCCCGAAGTCGAAACGCCGAATAAGAAAACGCTCACCATCGCGACGTGAACCTGCCGCAGCTGCTCGTGTTATCCAGAGGTTCACGGTGTGCTAGGGGACGCTCTTGCGAATCTCATCGCCCTCATGTGGGTAGCGCGAGCGTTGTCTTGCCATCGCGCCTCTGATGCGCCGGCTTTTCGCACGGGGCACTCGTCTTTTTTTCCCCCCTCTGTGTTGAGTAGCGACGCGCTTAGCGTGTGCGTGAGCCGGTACTCTCGCTGCAGCTACGACACGGAAACAGTGTGCTTTTGCGATGGTGTAGGCTTGTTTGCCAGACGTGTTGTTGTCATGAGGTGCGTGTGGTTGCTTCGGAAGTGCATCGAGCGGTATCTGATTTTAGTCTTCAGAAGAACCAGCGGCGCCTGGCTAGATGCTGGTGGGTGATATGAATCGGATAGCCGATAGGCTGTGTGTGTCCAGATTGCGTATGCTCCGGCCATCTTTTCCGCTCCGAGACCACTCGAGGCCACCTCTGTTACCCTACATGTCAGTACTACCAGGTAGTGCGGACGATCAGCGAGTGTGGAACAGTCTATGGATAAGGGATGAACGCCTAGTCAGATCGCTTCATCAATCGGTTGTTTATTCAGCGGCTTGGCAGAAGCCAAGAACTATTGGACGGCCGATGCTGTTGGTGTTGTAAGTGGGAACGCGCACTGTTTTTTTTGGCGATGTTGCTATACGCGTAATTAGACGTTGCGCAGAGGATGCTCATAAGAATTTGACGAACATGCGCTTCGAGTTGCAGGAATTGAAGAAGGCGTTGGAGGTGCAGCAGCAGGCGATGCCACTTTAACGAAGCTGCCGAGTCCCGTGCGTGAAGGGAGAAGAGCAGGGCGACGATAGTAGAGAAAGACTCGGAGAGGGAGTTCGGGCAGCCGCAGTAGTATCAAGACAACGAATGAACAGCATGAATAGACACTCTCCTTTGGAGCATGGATTGTACCATGCCAGTTCCACGGAACGACCAGCCAGTTTCTCACAGACGTGTCGCGAGACGGCAGGCGAAGCGTCATTCCTAGAGGACCAGCTGCGGTGCCCCATACCCTCTCCTCACCTCCGGGCCGCCCAACCTGGTCCAGAGGAACTGGGAGCGGAGAGTCCCGCTGCATCGCTTGCGCAGAGGCGGTGCAGCGCGATCTGGAGCCAGAGTTTTCCATTTCTCATATCCCGCCGTCGCCGATGCATTGGCGATGCGGTGCGATCCTCCGACCCCTATCGACCCCGGCTCCATGTTGGCTGCCCCGTCCCCCGACCTTCGACAGCTCGATCTTCGGCGTGCCGCTGCCCCTCTGAGACCTCGACCCCGCCGCCCAGATTGGCTGCTCCTCTCTGAGTCGTTCCTTGCCCGTCCCGGGCACGGCCTCTGAGTGCAGGACGCGGGGAAGCTTTGCTTCTTCCGGATCTCCCACACCACGAACGTACATCATGTGACGCCTGCGTCGAAAAACCGTGCCACGTGCGTGCGCACTCCGAGGGGGGCCCGCCGAGACGGGTTCGACCCCGAGCAGTCGAGGTTGACCAGCAGGTCGACCCTGCCAAGTCAAGGGTACCCTCGTGCCCTGCGTTTTGCGGCCCGTGCCGCCTGCATTCCTGCGGCAGCGTGGCCCTCGGAAGGGCCTTTCTGCCCCCTCGCGTGTCCTCTCCAATCAGCCCCGACTGCACGAGGGAAACGAACAATGACATAAACACAAAAACTTGAAGGTCCGCGCAGATTTCTCGGATCGGCGCTGGAACCCCCGCCTTGGCGCGCGGAGCGCGCCAGGGGCGGCGCCAGAGGCGCCGCCAAAGGGGTCCAGCGCCGATCCGAGCAATCCGCGCGGACCTCCGAGTTTCTATGCTTATGCAACTTTTTGCTCCCTATTTCTGCCCCCTCGCGTGTCCTCTCCAATCAGCCCCGACTGTACATCCGCATCTCCACCGCCTGCCGAGGCCCCCGCAGTTCGACCCTCTGGGCGGCGGTCATGGATGGCCCCCCGCCTCGCACCAACCCCAAGGGGACCACGTCCTCGGGCGTGAGGGCCCCCTCCCTCCTCCCCTCCCTCCTCCCTCCTCCCTCCTCCTCCTCCTCCTCCTCCTCCCTCCTCCTCTCCTCCTCCTCCCTCCTCCTCCGCCTCCCTCCTCCTCCTCTCCTCCTCCTCCTCCCCTCTCCTCCTCCTCCCCCTCCTCCTCCTCCTCCTCCTCCTCCTCCTCCTCCTCCTCCTCCTCCTCCTCCTCCTCCTCCTCCCCTCCTCCCCCTCTTCTCTCTTGCTCGTCGGGCAGAGGCCCGGGGCCCCCTCCGGGGGTTCCTCGGCGTGCTGCTCCGGTGCGGCCCGGACCTCCGGCGCGCCCCGAGCAGACGAGTGCTCTTTGGGCAGCGCGCGGGCCGCGGCGCGGGCCGCAAGAACAGGTGATCTCCTGCACTCTGCAGGCGTGTGCAGTATACGAGGTGCAGTCTGTGTGGTGCAGTGTGTGGGATGCGAGTGTGTGTGTGTGTGGAAGCTGTCCGGTGCTCTCTATGTCTGCGTGGTGCATTCGACGCGGCGAAGTCTACGCGGTGCAAGATTTGTGGCGCAGTCCGTGTGGTGCAGTCTGCAGTCTATGTCTATGTGGCTGCGTGGTGCAGTCTTTGCGGTGAAAGCTGTGTGGTGCAATCTATGGGGTGCAGAGTTGACTACCCTGCACCGCGCCTGGCCACCTCCACTGCTCGCGCAAAATATCCCACCCACCCACCCGCAACTTGGTCGCAAGACTTCTTAAGGCAAGACCGTGACGGTAGGTACCACATGGCACTTGGCCACGACACCGACGCCGACGACGACAGCGACAACGACGACGACGGCGCCGCCGACACCGACTACGACGACACCGCCGACGTCGACGTCGACGAAGACGACGACGACGCCGACGCCGACGACGACGACGACGAAGACGACGACGACGTCGCCAACGAAGACGACGACGAGGGAGGAGGGAGGACCACGACGGCGACAATGACGACAACGACGATGGATGAGGGAAGACGGCGACGACGCGAACGAGGAAGAAGGAGGAAGGACGGCGACGCCGACGACGACAACGACGAGGGAGGAGGGAAGACGACGACGACAACGACGACGAAGACGACGACGACGGCGACGAAATAGGAGGGACGACGACGAGACGCCGACGACGAACGACGACGACGACGAGGGAGGAGGATAACGACGAGGGAGGAGTGAAAACGACGTCGACGAAGACGACGACGACGGCGACGAAATAGGAGGAACAACGACGAAACGCCGACGAAAACGACGAGGGAGGAAAGACGACCACGGCGACAACGACGACGAAAGCGACGACGACGCCAAGACGACGACGACGACGACGAGGAAAGACAGAAGACGACGACGGCGACGACGACGACGACGAGGCAAGAGGGAGGACGACGACGACGACGCAAGAGCGCGTGCACGCTTTTGTTGAACATCCGTGTTGCAAAACCTTGTGTTTTTGTAGGTTTTTTGGACACACGATTGTGAAACCCTTCCGAAACCTATGGGTTTTGAAGGTTTTCGGCATACGCGCGCGACGACTTCGTCACATTTTTTGCAAAGGAATTTCGCGACGGCACACGCGCAAGGGCGTTCGACAGATTTCGACAAGCGCGCGCGCGACGCCCGTTTGGTAGCATGTTGTGAACATCTTGAAAAACTTTTTTTTTTTTTTTTTTTTTTTTTTTTTTTTTTTTTTTTTTTTTTTTCAAAAAAAAATCGCAAGCGCTCGCGCGGAAGTTTTTTTAGCAACCCAGTGTTGCGAAACTTTGTGTTTTTGTATGTTTTTTGGGAAACTCGATTTCGAAATTTTTCCGGCACTGAGGGTTTTTGAAGGATTTCGGCATGCGCGCGCGACGGCGCGCGCGTGTGCACTTCGTCCAATTTTTTGCATGAGATTCGTGGACAAGTGTTATGTTGGAGCAAAATATGTCACCGCATAGTGTTTTTAACAAGGGAACCTCAGGGGGGGGAGCCCGGCCCCCTGGGATAGTGTAAATTCATATTTAGGATGGACATGTGGTCAGAATCATATATGGTTTACATTTCCGAAAGGGGGAGTGATAACGCCAGGGGGGGTATATCCTATTCTGTTATTAGAAAGGAGAATATACGGTTCAATCTATGGGGTGCAGTTCCACTGTGCTGAACTTGAAGTAGTCACCTCCACTGTTCACGCAAACATCCCACCCACCCACCCGCAACTTGGTTTGCAAAGCGTCTTAAGACCGACTACGACGACACCGACGCCAGCGACTAAGACGCCGACGCCGACGTCGTCTCCGACGACTTCGGCGACGACAACGACGCCGACGCCGACGACGAAGACGACGACGCCAACGGAGGCGACGACGAGGGAGGAGGAAGGACGACGACGGCGACAACGACGACATCGACGACAACGACGAGGGAGGAGGGAGGACGGCGACGACGCGAACGACGAAGAAGGAGGAAGGACGACGACGCCGACGACGACAACGATGAGGGAGGAGGGAAGACGACGACGACGAAAACGACGACGACGGCGACGAAATAGGAGGGACGACGACGAGACGCCGACGACGGACGACGACGACGACGACGACGACGAGGGAGGAGGAGGAAGGACGACAACGGCGACAACGATGACGGAAACGACCACGACGCTAGAGAGGACGATGACAACGAACACGAGGAAAGACAGAGGACGACGTAGGCGACGACGACGACGACGACGCGGGAGGAGGGAGGACGACGACGACGACGACGACGCAAGAGCGCGCGCGCACGCTTTTGTTGAAAATCCGTGTTGCGAAATCTTTGGTTTTGTGTAGGTTTTTTGGACACGCGATTTTTGAAATTCTTCCGAAACCGATGGTTTTTGAAGGATTTCTTCATACGCGCGCGACGACGCGCGCGTCTGCACTTCGTTTCGTTTTTTGCAGAGGATTCTCGCGACGGCACACGCGCAAGGGCGTTCGACAGATTTCGAAAAGCGCGCGCGAAGCCCGTTTGGTAGCATTTTGTGAAAATCTTGAAAAACCTATGGTTTTCTTAAGATTTCGCAAGAGCTCGCGCGGCAACTTTTTTAGCAACCCAGTGTTGCGAAACCTTGTGTTGTTGTATGTTTTTTTGGAGACTCGATTGCGAAATCCTTCCGGCACCGACGGTTTTTGAAGGATTTCGGCATGCGCGCGCGACGGCGCGCGCGTGTGTGCACTTCGTCCCTTTTTGTGCAAGGGATTCGCGAAAAAGTGTTATGTTAGAACAAGCAATGTTACCGCATAGTGTTTTTTTGCAAGGGACCTTCAGGGGGGGGATACCGGCCTCCCCGGGATAGTGTAAATTCATATTTAGGATGGACATGTGGTCAGAATCGTAAACGATTTACATACCCGAAAGGGGGACCGATGACGCCGGGGCGGGTATATCCTATTCTGTTTGTAGAAAGGAGAATCTATGAGGTGCATTTAATTTGCTGAACTTGAAGTTGTCTTCTCCACTGCTCGCGCAAACATCCCACCCACCCACCCGCAACTTGGTTTGCAAAACCTGTTAAGACCGACTACGACGACACCGACGACAACAACTAGGACGACACCGACGACGTCTCCGACGACTTCGACGACGACAGCGACGCCGACGCCGACGACGACGAAGACGACGACGACGACGCCAACGAAGGCGACGACGAGGAAGGAGGAAGGACGACGACGGCGACAACGACGACAACGACGAAGGAGGAGGGAGGACGGTGACGACGCGAACGACGACGAAGGAGGAAGGACGG